TCCCTCCCCCCGGCCCGCGCGACTTCCTGCCGCGGACGCGTCGGCGCGCACGGCATGGCGGCGGCGCGCGCCTGAGGAGCTGGGGGGGGACGCCGGCCCGGTCAGGCCTCGGCGCGGCCTACACGCTCGCCCGCCCGCCCGCCCCCGCCCCGCGCCCCGCCATGGCGGAGCCTTCGCCGGCCCGACGTCCGGTGCCGCTCATCGAGTCTGGTAAGACGCGGCCGCGCGTCCCCCCGCCGGGCGCCGCGCGGCCGCCGCTGACCGTCCCCGTCTTCTCCCCGCAGAGCTGTACTTCCTCATCGCCCGCTACCTCTCGGCCGGCCCGTGTCGCCGAGCGGCGCAGGTGAGCGGGCGGCGGCGGGGCCGTGGGGGAGGGCGGGCGGGCGGCGGGGAGGGCGGCGGCGGGCTCTGACCGCGCGTCTCTGCCGCAGGTGCTGGTGCAGGAGCTGGAGCAGTACCAGGTCGGTGCGCCGCCCCCGCGTCCCCGTCCCCGCGTCCGCGTCCCGCCCGGCCTCGGGCCGCGGTGGTCACCCGGACGCCCTTCGTGTCTCTTTCCAGCTGTTGCCGAAGAGGTTGGACTGGGAGGGCAACGAGCACAGCAGGAGCTACGAGGAATTGGTGAGCAGCGCCCCGCGTCCCCGCGCGCCCGCGTCCCCGCCGGTCCGAGCTCCCGGCCGGGCGCCGCGGGGCCCCGACGCCGCGGACGGCGGGCCGGTGCCCCCACGGCTCGCGGTGGGGATCGGGGCCGGATTGGGCAGGAAACGGTCCGGGGGGCGGCGCGGGGCGCGGCCGGGGGCGCCCCTGGCTCGCGGCCCGCCGCTCCCCGGGGCCAGCCACTCAGAGGGGCTCTCTCTGCGCCCTCCGCGCCCACTTGTGTCTCGGGCTCTCATTGGTCCCCCCTCTTCTGCCCCGCCCAGACCTCCGGACCACTTGCTCCCCAGGAATGGAGTCCTGAGTGTCTGAGGGTGCAGAACCTGCCCCTTGCTGTTCCCCTCCCTGTCCTCAGGAGCTGACACACAGAGTTGTGCTTCGTGAATACCGCGCCTTTGCTCCCCGGCCGTGCTCTGCTTGTTGACTGCCCTAGAAGCTGGCTCGCACTGATCTTTCTGCGTGCAGCACTTCAGGCGTTACCTTGCCATCCATCCCGTATACGCGTCTCTGGCTGGCCGTGAGCTCACAGGCCCTGCTCCCGAGAGCTCTCCCTTCTCCAGTGGAAACGTGGGCTGTGTTTATTTACCGTCGTCCTCCACTTGCTTCACGCTGTTCCGAGTAATTCAGTCTAACCCAGGAAACGGAAGATCTGGGACTTCTTCAACACGCCCTGAGCGTGTTGGTTGCACGGTAGTTAGAACCCGCCTCTGTGAGGACTTCTGCGTGGGCTTGGCTTTGGCTTGCGTGCAGCCCTGCTTCATTCCGCCTCAGTGCTGGGTTGCCATTAGAGGACAGGCACATCATGCTGCCTTCCCCTGCGTCCAAGATCTGGAAGTCGTGGTCACTAGAGTAGCGGTCAGAAGGTCGGCCAGGGCCTGTGTCCTGCATGTGACTAGTTTGCATTTTCCGGGTTAGGGATTTTAATAGAGTGCCGGGCAGTGCTCTGCAGCAGTGGTTCTCAACCTCGGGATCGAGATCCACTCATCAGCTATTTGCAGTTAAGTAGGAATGAAAATAATGTTATGGTTGGGGGTCGCCGCAGCATGACCTGTGTTAAAGGCTTTCAGCATTGGGCCGTTGAGAACCGCTGCTGTAAAGCCTCCACGACTCTTCCTCAGCCAGGTGGTGGCCATGAGAGGTGGAGTTGCCGTTGTTGCTTAGTTTGCCTTTTTAGGAGGATTTTTTTTTTTTTTAAAGATTTATTTACTATTTATACAGTGTTTCGCCATACACACCAGAACAGGGCACCAGATCTCACTATAGATGGTTGTGAGCCACCGTGTGGTTGCTGGGAATTGAACTGAGCCATCTCTCCAGCCCCCTTAGGATGATTTTTTAAAAGCAAATGCTTCAGGCTGTTGAGCTGGCCTGTCACCTAAAAGGGTTTCTGCCGATGCTAACGGTGTGAATTGGGTCCTGGGGACCCATGTGGAGGAGGGTAAGCAGGAGTGGGATGCTGCCATCCACCCTCCAGAGCATTGGCATGTGCGTGCAGTCTTTTTCTTTCTGGTTCTTCAAGATACTGCTTCTCTCTGGAGCCCTGGCTGTTGTGCGCTCACTTTGTAGACCAGGCTGGCCTCAAACTCACAGCCTCTGTCTCCTGAGCATTGGCACTAAAGGCCTGCACCACCATGTTCTGCCAAGTTTGTTTTCTTGGGTTTGATATTTTAAGGTTTGTGGGTGTATGCATGTTGGAGTGTCTCTCCTGGGACTGTGCTCACAGACGGTTTTACTACACGCCTTTCTCAGCAGACAGTCATTTTCTTACCCTCTTTCTTTCCTGGAGGCTGAGAACAGGGTGCAGGTTATCAGAGCCCGGGCTGTGGGAAGGGCTTTGATCCTTTCAGCCATCTTGATGGTCCTAGTATGTCACTGTTGTGGGATGTCTGCAGCTTCTATTCCAAATACTTTTTTTTTTTTTTTGGTAGATTTGTGCTATTCCTAGCATTCACAAGATGAGACCTGTCCTCTATATATTAACAGATTGTAACATGCCAGTTTGCTGTGTTTATGTTAGTTTCTGTTTGAGGCATTCCATTTTTATGACTGTCAGCGAAAATTTCCAACAGACAAGTAGATTGCTGACCCAGTCACCCAGTGATTAATCAGAATGCTGTGTTGGTTAATAAAGGACCCTTTCTTTTTGAGGGGTTCAGCCCAGCCAAAATGGAACTCTGTGAGTGTCTGCTTCATAGATTCTATGTGGATATTGTCTTCTGGTTCTCCAGCTGCCTTTATAAATATTTTTGCATGTTGGGTGCCTTAAGGCAGGGTCTCATGTAGCCCAGGTTATTTGACCTTGAAGTACGTAGTTCAGGATGACTACCACCAAGCTTCTGATCTTGCCCTCCAACTCAGAAAGTGTTAAGTTTATAAGTATGTAATACAGTGCTTGGCTTGAGTATAATTTTTTTTTTTAAAGAAGATTTGTTTGTTTATTGTGTCTACGTTGTTTTGTCTGCATGTAGGCCTGCATACCAAGAGAGTACCAGATCTCAGTATAGATGGTTGTGAGCCACAGTATGGTTGCTGGGAATTGAACTCAGGACCTCTGGAAGAACAGCCAGTACTCTAAACCTCTGAGCCATCTCTCCAGCCTTGGCTGTCCTGGACTCCCATTGTAGACTAGGCTGGCAAACTCACAGAGACCCTCCTGCCTCTGCCTCCAGAGTGCTGGGATTACAGGCGTGCTCCACCGTGCCTGGTGCTTTTTTAGATCTTAAGTATAAGACACATTAGGATTTCTTATCTTCTGTTGAATTGATCTAATGTTTTAAAATTAGGAAATGACCTGAGAGTTCTCATGTGTATGAGTGCTTTGCCTACATGTGTGTGTGTTACATGTGTGCCTGTTACCCCACAAGGTCAGAAGGGGACATGGTATTCCCTGGAACTGGAGTAACAGATGGTTGTGAGCCACCATGTAGGTTCCAGGAACTGAACGCAGGTCCTCTGTGAGAGCAGCCAGTGCCCTCAACCTTAGACCCCCACATGATGACACTGTAGTAGTTGAGTCTGTTTCTGTTGGACCCCTGGGCCCTGTGCGTGCTAAGACAGGTGCTCTCCCATGAGCCACAGTGGGGAGCTCCAGCTCACTGTTCTGGGTCCTAACCATGGCTATATGAGTAGGATTGTTTTACCAATTCTTGAGCTGTTGGTGCAGATTCTGAAACACAGCTCTTTTTTTTCTAAGGAAATAAGAGTTCATTTGCAGCCAAATAGGTGTGACCATGGCCTGGGAACAGAGATTTAGGTTACCCTAAATGCATGTTCCCAAATGTGGCAGCAGTTGCATGAAATTTGTATAGCAACAGAATAAAGTCATAATCAAGGCAGTTTTCTGATACATGGGTAGAAACATCAGGTAAGTGGTTAAAGCAAAATGGGGGAGTCTGTGCCATAGCTCTAGATGTTATCTGATGATACTCTAGAATGGTGTGTTCTTACCTGAGTAGTGGTGGATGTCTTAAATCATAGCAATTGGGAAGCGGAGGCAGGCAAATCTGTTGAGTTGGAGGCCAGCTTGGTCCAGGGCAGCCAAGGCTATACAGAAACCCTGTCTTGACAAACCAAAAAAGCCCACCAGCCAACCAAAAGACCCCAAGAAACAAACAAACAAAAAACACAAAAAGGTGGGGTCTGTTGAGTATCCAGAAAAAGGGTTTTACCTAATTGCAGGGAAGATGTTAGCTGAACACAGGTGGGGGCTGGCGCTACGTTTTTCTCTAGTTTGAGTTCTTATACCTTTGAACACCCCAGTACCAGGTAGTAGAGACAGGAGGTTAGTGGGGAGAGGGGACACTTGAGATCTTTTTAACATTTTCCTGCTGATTATGTTGTCAGGTTCCTTGGGGCAAGTCCAGTCTTTGTAGTCAGGATATCTCCAACTTCTCAACTGCAACAGCAGTAGCCGCCTCCTCTGGATCACCCCTCTCCTCTCTGGACTCTGAAGAGTTTCCAGAGTTCCAAACGCCCAAATGAAAACTACCTGCAGCTGGCAAAAATTACACCAGAGCTGCCAGAGCTCGAGGACAGTCATAGTTAGCAAAGCTGTGGACAATTCAAAGCAGTCCCATACTTCACAGCTGGGATTAAAACAAAAACGTACTTGCATAACTTTTTGGGTTTCTCTGTGTAGCCTTGGCTGTCTTGGAACTCTGTATACCAGGCTGGTCTCGACTTGAGAGATTTGTCTGCCTCTTCCTCGATGAGTGCTGGAATTACAGGGGTGTGCCACTGCACCCACCATAACTGGGTTTTTACAGAAACCCTCACCGTCACCACAGGTGGGCGTTAATACAGCGCTAGTTAGGGCCCAGAGGCATCGATCGCGCTGTAATCCTTCTGGGGTCTGCAGCATCCCAGCTTTTCACAGCCTTTCTGTCAGCCTTCTCCTATGTTGGGCATAGTGTGGCCATGTCTGGGCACTGCAGTCCGCGCTGACTTTGGTGTTTAGAAGGGACAGGTGGTCCAGTGGTACTCTCACTGCTTCCTCACAGGCTGTGACTCGTGGCTGGGCCTTTGTAGCTTGGCGTTGTTGGATTTAGTTCACTGCTGCCTTTGTATGCTTTGAGGATAACATCAAGACTTCCTTCCCAAGAGTTTAGGATTTGGGTATTTGTGAATTTCCTAGTGTAGTTCTAAAATGTTCTACATACCTGTGTGTGATGCATTCATTCATTCATTTGGAGATGATCTCACTGTGAAGCTTTACCTGTCCTGGAACTTACTGTGCAGACCCAGCAGGCCTTGAATCTGTCTTTCTCTGCCTCCCATGTGCTAGGATTAAAGGCTTGTGCCACCACGCCTGGCCCATATGCATTTAAATACTATTTTATTTTTAGTTTTTTGGTTTTTGAAACAGTTTCACTGGGAAGTCCTGCCTGTCCTGAAACTTGCTCTGTAGACCAGGCTGGCCTCTGCCTCTGAGTTGCTGGGGTTAAAAGGGTGTGCCACCACTGCCTGGC